AAAATTGGGTTTGTATCATGTACAATTAATTTCACTGTCAAAATCTTTACAACTTTCTATTTTTGGCTTAAATTTTTGACTTCTGCTATGCTTTTCCTTTCTTCTGAGTAGTCTATACTCTTCTGCTTCAAGAGTTTTTTGATATGATGTATTTTTGCCATCTTGCACCCATTATCTAAAGACTAGACTAACTCTTTTTTTTCTGCCTGATTTTACTCAATATTTCAACCGATTTCTGCAGTACAATATCTTGTATTTTCTATCCATAGCTGATTAATACCTTTTTCTTTTTCTACGTTTTCTATCCTTATCTTATCTACTGTTTGTTCTCTATATACATTTTCTATACCGGATATTTTAGTTTATTCGTCTTCCGGGTTTGGACCGTGTCATTTGTGAGTGACCCAAAAGTGGGTTCATCTCACTGGAGATGAACCCACTTTTGGGTCACTCACAAATGACACGGTCCAAACCCGGAAGACGAATAAATTATAATTCTGACTCTGGCTGTGGAAGCCTACGATCTCATCGGATATTTTAGTTTGTAAATATTTACTTTTTATCTCCTTTTTTCGATCACCTTTTTTTATTGGATACTTATTTCTTCTTTAAACAGCAGCTTAACCAAATAGTGGTTCACTATCTATGGTTCCTCCTCTGAAAGATCTAATATCTAAAAGGTTGGTGCATAAAGTGCTTTGCATCAATCACTATGGTGGAAAAAAATATATTCTCTCTTCCTACTTTAACAGGATTCAGGCCGGCAACAGATGTATTTTTGCCCTCCAAAACCTTATAAAATCAAAACAACTAACACGACGTACGAAGATACAGGTCTATAAAACAATCATACGACCCGTTGTGATGTATGGAAGCGAAACGTGGACGATAACAAAGGCAAATGAAGAGGGACTACGTGTTTGGGAAAGAAAAATCCTAAGGAAGATCTTTGGTCCGGTGCTTGATGAAGCAATATAGGATAAGAACTAATAAAGAGCTTGAAGAACTTTACCAGACGCTAACATCATAAAAGAAATAAAGTCCAGAAGACTCCAATGGGCAGGACACCTCAGAAGACATTCTGACGAACGAACAGTAATACTGGTGTAGGAGGAAGTCCCAACTGGAAGGAGACCACGCGGACGCCCTCGTCTCCGGTGGCGAGATAATATAGCAGGAGACCTAAGTACTATGGGCGTGGAGAATTGGATGGAGGTTGCTCAAGACAGAAAACAGTGGAGGCATGTTGTCGAGTCGGCTAAAACCCACGAAGGGTTGTAACGCCATGGAGTAAGTAAATGAGTACTTTAACATAAGTCTCCTGCTCATATTTTAACATATTTTTGTCTTCTACTTTTTCTCTTCGACTGGTGCGTGAATACTTATATAATATATTTAGCAAACTTTCCTTTAAATCTCATTCGACATATTCTGTGATCAATATCATTGAAGTCATTTACGCTGTGTTTAATCCTGCTGCTCACAAAAAATCCGTTACCAAATTCGTGATGGATAGGGTCTCCATTATAGTAGATATTGTAGATTTTTTCCAGGATTCCTGAGCCATTCCGTCTCAACTCTTGTAAACCAATGATATCTGCTTTGGGTTTATGCTTTTCTGGTACATTAAAATAAAACATTGTCCTTATTTCGTTTGCGAGTGCGTCGCAGATTAAACAGTCCGGCTTCTTTCTTTGTAACTTACATAAGATGGGTTTTTTACAGGGTTGAATAGTTAGCCTAACGCCAAACCCTCTTTTCGGAAGATCATTTTCCCCGCTCTCGTCAGTTCCGACTCAACTTTCCACCCGAGTGGGTTATTGCATCTCCAGTTGGGTTGTTTGGTTTCACAATGGGCACTAGCGTGAAAATGAGAGTCGGATTTGAGTAGGAAAGGCTAACTGGAGTAAACTGGAACCAACTCCATTTTTTACTCTAATGTAATTTATAAAATATTCTAAAATCTTTAATTCTACTCCTAAAAATAAGTTGGCCTTGGCTTTGGGATTTTAATAAAATCGTTTTTTGACAACTAAAAATAGTATAATAATACCTAATGTAATTTCTTGTGTTCACTCTCTAATTTTTTTTATAACAAAACTTTAAAACATCGTTAGTTCCTATAGAAATAAAAATGTCATTCCTATTCACTCCTAATGAATACGTAGGTAAAATGTTGATTTCTGGTGAGTAAATGAAAAATTCTCAAAAGGCCTTATACGCTTTTGGGAACGAAGAATAACTTTTTTTTATTATCTTAATGGTTAAGGAGAAGATGCCACATGTTTCATTTCCGAAGTATACACATAAAAATTGTGAAAAACCAAAACATACTCAACAAAAGAACGTGGTGAATGCTTTAGCATATTATGTAGCGATTAATATACATGAGTCCAAATGCTTTATTGCTGCAGAATCTGGCGGGTCTTCAACTCCAGTTCATAAAATTTAATAAAAACCACCAGTACCATCCATTTACATTGCGTTTAGTTCATGAATTGTGACCCACAGGTTCTTAAACACACCTTCATAAATAGGTTGCAAATGCTTGTCAGTCGTTTACTGAAGGATTGTCAACTATAGTTTATTTTTATGAACGAGAGAGTAATTAGCATAATTTTAACTGGTATCTCCGACCACTCCATGGGCGTGCTCAAGATTAATTGAAAAATTACTTTGAATAATTGTAAAAAATAAATGAATTATTTCAGTGTTATAAAGTGTTATGTGTATGTAAACAAAAGTGACCTCTTTTATCACACACTATATTAGAACTGACTGGCCTACATTAAAAAGGGTTTTAAAAAATTCACATTTTTTTTAATTTTTAAAAATTACAAAAGAGAAAAAGAGGTTTTAAAACCGTCTAAGGTATGTTAAATAGATGAATAAAAATATTAATATAAAACTTACAGCTACTTGTTACAAATCCACATCAGATTCAGAAGATGAACTTTCAGAACCAAGATTTATAATAACTGGCTCGATCATTTTATCAGTAATATTGTCCAGCTTCCACATTTTTTCCTCTTCTTTAATAGTGTGATTTACTGCCTTTTCCCAGTTTTCAGGTTTTACATTATTTACGGCCTCCAAAAACAACTGTTTAACATCATGAATTTTAAAAGTGGTATTTTTTCTTGAAACTTCACTCTTTATCTGTGCCTATACCAGTTCAATCGGATTTAATTCACAATGATATGCTGGGGATCTAAGTACTGTCATTCCACGATTTTTGGCAATTTCATCAATTTCGTATTTTTTAAATTTTTCTTTATGAAGGGCACACAACGAATAAAGTTCCTTTCTTATAGATCCGGGATGGTACGTAATATTTTTTGAACTCAGCCAATTCTGCAAGTCTTTTTTTAACCACTTAGTTGTGGGCAGTCCTTCTATAAGTCTGGAGTGATAACTTGCATTATCCATTACTATTACACAGTTCTTAGGAATAAGATCTATCATTTGTTCGAACCATTCTTGAAAGACATCAGCGTTCATGTCTTCATGGTAGTCACCGGTACGAGTTGATTCAAAAGTTAATAAACCACCTTCAACAAAACCGTCTGAACTGCCAATGTGTACTATTATCAGCCTGCGTCCCTTTCCTGATGGTGGGTTTAAACCAGTAGATAAGTTATTTACAAAAGCGTGCCTTTGACTTGTAACAGTTTCATCCTGCCAAAATTTATTTGGTGTATGACCCTCGTTGATCCATGTTTCATCAAGATAAAATATTTTTCTTTTTTGGTTTCTCATTTCCTTTATGGTTCTTAGAAAATGTCTTCTCCATATGACAATATCGCTTCTTTCTAATAAAATAGACTTTCTGGGATTCTTTTTCCAGCGGAAGCCTATTTCTTTTAAAAGTTTCCATAACGTACTTCGACTCATTTCTGGGTAATCCTTATCATCTCGAACTGAGACAAGAACTTTATCCAATGTTGGAAATTCTTGTCTAAAGAAGAATTCATGCACTTTCCGTCAAAGTCCTTCTTTAAAATGATATTCTATTTGAAATTTTGGTTTCCTAGAGCATTACGTGGTATTTGAAAACTACCACATTTCTCTTCTTTAATAACTCTGTAAATCGTAGATTTCCCAACACCAAGTGTACTGCTAACTAACTCAACGATCTCATCAACACTTTCACATAAACGTTTGTCTGTAAATGATTTAAAACAATTAAATATTAATGTTTTTTCATTAACTATTAAAGGACCAATTTTTCGGCGTTTACACGGCACTTCCAAATTTTCCATAACACTAGTATACACAATAAACTGCACCTTGCAACTGAAGTACCTACTTTTAGTGAACTGTTAAGAATTTTGAATACGCCACTTGGACCTTCCTATAAAATGGAAAAACCCACTATCACATTTTCTGTGGAATAAGTTTAGAAGGTAATTATCTAGTCAATTACTGTCGTAGATTCCTGGAATTAAAGAATTAAATGTTTGATTGTTGAAACCCTTACTTCGTGGAATGCACTCATTTCAGATAAAATAAAACGTTTTATTTTATCTAAAGAATTAAACTTTATTTTGCAAATAGGTAGGTACTTATTAAACTTTTATTGGTTATATATAACCAATAAAATAAACATTTTACATTTCTTGCAAATCCATTAGTACCTGTTAACCTCCATCACTCCGACACTGGCAACCTTATTTAGGGATTAGTAACCCTCACAACTATTGTATTCTATTCTGCTCCAACCTTTATACCTGGTGGTCATACTCAATTAAAAATTGTTTTCCTATATACTTCTGTAAACTTGTTGACAAATATCTGTTTTTCATTGAGTCACCCGTATCAACAGTTTAGGGATTTGCGTACATAATTTATTGTTTTATTACTCTCTCATACATAAAAATACACTATAGTAAAGGTCATTGTTTGATGATCACACATTGAAGGTTTAAATGATTTGTTGATCAATTTTTATTGGAATTTGTTTCAAGGCATTCTAGTAACATCATTTTGTTTTGTTACAGTTAAAGAAGAGACGGCAGAATTCAAAGAACCGATATCCTACAAAAACAATTTCGTCCCTGTTTTCGTGATAACGATGTTGGTCATCGCGGGCGTCATAGGAATCGTGGCATTGGCCCTGAAGATAGCCAGCAAGAAGATCATAGAAGAATTCGACAACGTCTCCATCGCTTCTGAGATATCTACAAGCAGTTGCAGTACAGTTACGGAAGTTGAAGTAGCCATTGAAGGTGTAAACAAACATACGGAAAGATCCTTCAGTCACATATAAGTACCGACGGTGTACTTGACGATTTTGAGATTTTCATTGGTGACTACAAAACGAATAAAGCTGTAAAGATACTCTTCTCAGAATAACAAATAGATCAACTAATAGAAATGGTGTTAAAAATGATGAATTTGTTATATAAAATACGTACTGACATCATCACTTAATCGTTGACTTTAAAACTATTTATTAGATAAACCTCTCTGATTAAATATGTTTCTCCAACAATGGCATGTTAAACTTTAAAATTCTTACTTTAAGTTAATAATGAGCTAAATTTATTGGGCAGTAGTATCAATAGTATGTAACGCTTCTCAGAGAAGAATACACTACATCACACCGTTTGGTAATAATGAATAATATAGTTCCTATATAATATATATATATATATATATATATCAGTACAGCATCGTGTAATTTATTCTAACCAACTGTAAAACAGAAGAAATCATCCTGGAATTATAGCATCTTATCAAATCTTAAAAAGCCACGATCCTATCAAATTTTACCGTCCATTCTATTCAGTTTGTACTTGAACTTTCAGTGTCCCATTCATTCTCTCACGCTTAGATACTTTCGAAATTGCAAAGTGGTTATCAATCTTGCCTTAAAAGATTCTTGAGTTTGAACCACCTGATTTATGTGTCATTTACTTTTAATTATTGGTTATTATAAAAATAAATTTACCGTAAATCTTATATGTCATAAAATTCACTTCTTATCATCAATTCGAGTCGCCAAACTAAACTAAAGATTTATAATCTAAAGAACACTTATCAGATTGGCATATGTCCACATCTTCAAGCAAACGTTAATTGGAAAAACGTTTTGTTAAAGCGCAATCACACCATATCGCAATGAGGTTCGAAGGACCAATGTGCAAATTTAAATGTGTATCTTTCGTTGTTCTCGATCGACGATGAAATAATACGAAGTCGATGATAGTAGCGTGAGAAAATAATTTATTAGTATATTGTATAATCCAATTTTTATATATATAATAATGGTCAACTGTCTGTATTGGACGTATCTTATTTCAATGATCCCAGTATGTCTTTTGATGGATCTCGGTTTATTTCAACGACAAACTTGTTCTTAATTCATCTCCTGTCATGAGGAGACTGTTAGTATCTACTTACTTCGGTAAGTCATGGTCATCAGAACTTAATAGAGGGTACCTTACAACCCGTGAAGATTAGGTTGACGTTTGCATTTATTACATTTCAAAACTCATTCCTGACATATACTCAACTTCTTTGTCTTCCGACAAAATTTTGTCGAAAGTTGTTCAGCAGTTACATAATTCCGTATCAAGGGAAATCTGCAAAATAATTAGACAATTCTTGGAAATAACTCCTTAAGTTTTTAATTCAAAAATTATTATATACTTGCAAAAAAATTATAAAGAGCCATCGAACTAATTATAGTAATATGTGCAATAAAAATAACTGACTGCGATAAAATATTTTTTAATAAAACTGAGTACAATTTGTTTACAAACAAAGTGTATACCATGGTACTATGACTAAGAAGATAAGATATTGCGCATAAGTCGTGACGTCATTGGAGAGTTACACGTTCGAAATGTCAGTTTTTTGTATATATCAATAAATAATCTTTAATAAATAGTTTAGAGATATCCTTATGTGTACGATTACTGTAATTATTAAACCTCTTAACTTATTTTTGTCTAGTAATTTCATCACAGAATGGAAATAAATCCCATTTAACTTTAATAAGAATTCAAATTCTACTCTCCAATGACGGCATGCGCGAACACGACCTATTTTGTGCTACGGGAAGATCCTATCTTGTTAATCATAGCATAGTATTAACCCTGTGATCATAGTATCATGGTTTATACTAATAATGATAATGACATGCATGTCATGTACTGACGTTCATGATTTGCAAAATGGCTGAATAATGCTTATGGCTCTGTATTACTCATTATCATATCCTGTTTTGTTTTGTGTAACGTAATGAGAACTTTTGCCTATAGCATTTGGCATATATAATTAAAAAGCTGTAGTTGGATCTAATTTATTTGATAACAAACAAAATAACTGCCTATTTTGTAGTTGTAACCTTTTCGCTGTTGTGTAGTTGTAGTTTAATTTCGTTTTGACACCCGTTACGGTTGGTATTTATCGTTCTTGTGATACAAGAATAAAACCAACACGAGCAACTCCCCCTTGTGATAGAATCATAAACTATCTTTAAGAATTTCGTACACAGACACAAATATATAATTCAACGAAAAGTTTTCGTACGGAATTTTTAAAGGGCATCACAGATGTAACTCTTTAAGTGTAAGATTAGTTTAGTGAGCTATTGCATATTTACTGTGATATACCAGGTGTTGGAAGCACTTACTTCATTTTAGGAAAGTATGGAAAATGTAAAACACCGGGTATAGTATGCAATTGAAAACGCATGTGTATTTATTTTGTATATTGTAGTGCGGTTGTATGTATGATCTCTTTTATAGATCAGTAAACTCGAATAAATATTTTTATATTTCTGTTGTTTTTTTTATTGGTAGGAGTCCTGTACGTTAGAGATTCCAGAAATTCTCCATAAATTTCGAATTTTCCGAGGATTCGGCCGTCGTGTCGTCTCAGCCACATGTTTTCTAGAACATTGCGTTCTCGTTCTTCTTCTTCTGATTCCTATCCGTTTCGGATGTTCGAAATCATATCGGTAATCATAACCTTGCTCGCTGCGGCTCGAAACAGCTCCCTTGAGGTTTTCTTAAACCATGTTCTTAAATTCCGCAGCCATGATATTCTCCTTCTACCGGGTCCTCGCTTACCTTTCTCTTTACATTGACTTTGCAATATAGACTGCAGCAGGGAGTAACGGTGCTGATTTCTCATAACGTGTCCCAATATTGCAATTTTATGCGTTTGAACGTAAACACAATCTCTGGTTCCTTTTTCATTTTTCCTAGAACTTCCTTGTTCGTGATCCTTGCTGTCCATGATATTCTCAGCATACTTCTATAAAGCCACATCTCAAATGCTTCAAGTTTTTTAATAGTGGTGTCTGTAAGCGTCCATGCCTCCGCCCCGTACAACAACACAGAGAAAATATAGCATCCCAAATGTCTCATTTTTGTATCAAGGGATATGTTGTGACTTTTGAAGATGGCGCTCATTTTGTTAAAGACCTTTCATGCCTTTCCTATGCGGCACTTTATTTCCTGTACATTGCTCCACTGTTCGTTTATAATAGTTCCCAGATAGCAATACTGTTTTACTCGCTCTATCTGCGTCCCATTAATGTATAGATGAGCCCCGTTTATGTTCTCCTTGCTGATAATCATTTGTTTCGTTTTGTGGGTATTAATGTTTAGTCCGTACTGTTGACTGTACTCGTTTATTCTGTCCATTAGCCTCTGAAGTCCCTCTTAACTATCTGCTATCACAATGGTGTCGTCTGCATATCTAACATTGTTTACTCTTTCACCATTTAGAAGGATGCCTTCGTCTATTCCGTAAAGAGCCTCGTTAAAAATTTTCTCTAAGTACATATTAAATATCAACGGCGATAGGATACATCCCAGTCTAACTCCACGTAGTATTTTTATGTGAGATGTTTCTTCTCCGTTAATTTTCATGTATGCGGTCTGATTCCAGTAGAGTTCTGAAATTATTCTGAGGTCTTTGTCATCCAGGTCTGCTTCTTTTAAAATGTTTATCATCTTTTGATGTTGAACTCTGTCAAATGCCTTTTCATAGTCGATCAAGCACGCGTATACGTCGCAGTTAACGTCCCTGCATCTTTGAGTCAGTACCTGTATTCCGAAAAGTCCCTCTCTGGTACCCACTGCGTTAATGAAGCCGAACTGTCTGTCCGATATTTGTTCCTCGCACTTCTTATAAATTCTTTCATGGATGACTTTAAGAAACAGTTTCAACATGTGGCTCATTAGGCTGATTGTTCGATATTATTCACACTTTTTAGCCCCTGTTTTTTAGGTATCGCTATGAATTCTGTTTGTAGCCATTTATCAGGGATGATTCCTGTATTGTATATTTTATTGAAGACAGCCGTGACCAATTTATTCCTTCTTCCTCCAAGAGTTTTAAAAATTCAGCTTCGATATTATCAGGCCCTACAGCTTTCCTGCTTTTAATCCGTTTTATTGCTTCTTCTACCTCGGATTTAAGTATGTCCGAGCCCGCCATCCTCTCTGAAAATGGATGCCTATAATCCGTTCTTTGATCTTGAAAAAGTGTCTCCAAATATATTCTCCATTTGTCTTTCATCTCTTGGGTGTCAATGATTAATTTTCCATTGGTGTCAATGAGTTTCATTTGTGTTCGCTTTGTAAAAGTACCCGTTATTTCTTTTACCTTTTTGTGTACATTAAAATTGTCATGCTTGGCTTGTAGTCTTTCTATTTCGTTACATTTCTCTACAGCTTCTTTTTCTTTAGCTTCTCTTATTTTTCTTCTGATGTAAGCCTGCATTTTTTATGCTCATCTTTATTTCCTTTAATTAACCTTCTGCATTCTATTAAGTGAAGGATTTCTGGAGTCATCCAAGATTTCTTTTTTGTTTCTTTGTTTAGTTTTAGCAGATCTTGTTAAGTTTTCTTAATTATTTCTTCGAATTGATTGATTTCTCGTTGAATGTTACTTTCTTCTTTTATTTGTTGTTAATATATTCCCCCATTTGCTTTTTAACTTCCGGATGTTGCAGGACTGTCATGTCGTTGTTAGGTCTAGACTTTTTCTTTATTGTCTTCATCCATGACTTCCACTAAAGGTATGTGGTCAGATTCAATGTCCGCTTCTGGATATGTTTTGACAGATTTAAAACTGTTTCTGAATCTTCTATTCTATCTGGTTACTAATTACGTTATGGGGTTTATCGACTTGTGCCTTCCATGTATACAATCTCATCGGTGGTAGTTTATAAAATGTGTTCAGAACCACTAGCTTGTTATCTTCTGCGAATATTTCTAGTCTGTAACCTCTTTCGTTTCTTTGTCCTAACTCAAAAGATCCGATTAGAGACGTTTTCCGTTCGGCCCCAAGTTTTGCATTGAAATCCCCCATTACGATGTTGACTTCGTGTTTAGGTATTCGTTCTCGTTAGAGAACTTTTATTTTCTAGTATTTTGTTGTAAATAGAAGAAAAATCAATTGGCAAACTAATAAATTACTAGCGCAAAAGAGTGATCACTTACCTTTGGCTGTAAATAATAGTAGCAGCAGCTGTGAAGAGTCGTAGTTGCAGGAAGTAATTATTCTCTTAGTGAAGACTGTTTGCCATTACGGCTGATGACTCAAACATTTCTGTGCGTTCTAAGCAGGAGATGTTAGCGTCGTGACTTCTGGTTATGTTCTACCTCTTTACAGTAGCGACCACCCTATTTGGGGGAGGCCGGACGGGAGAAAAGTCTGAGGGAGAAATCGAAACCACCCGTTTAAATTGTGTAAAAAAGTAAGTAACTTTCGAGTTATACTTTATATGGCTATGAACCCGAATGTTTTGAAGTAAATTAATGGTTTTATCGCACAGATATTTAATAAAGTAGAAATAATATGGTATCTATAAATGGCTCTAAGCTTGCAGCTCTAGTTAAAATATGAATAAAGTGCCAATTTTAACGTGTGGAAATTTAAAGCAAATAATAACAAGATAATGATGATAAAAATGAAATAAGTAACTAAATAAACTTATATGTTACAAATATTATGATTAATAAAAAATAAAATATTTACTTAAGCACTAAATACCTTTCAAAACATACTTTACCTGATTTAAAGCCTCTCATTGTCGTTTTTCTCGTTGTTTATTTATTTTTCTTGTTGGATATTTATCTAGTCATTATATGCCAATAATATTTATAAGTATGCTTAATTAATTTCTATCAGGATGATCTAAATGCGAACAGACCAGCCTTACACCGCTTCAGCTCATTCTGCATCCACTTAATGCATAAAGGAGGGCTGAAGTTATATATCTGGTATGCCATGTTTGTATTTCACCTGTTCTAAATCAATTGAATTTGTTGTACACACTAAATCGTTGTTATAATGAACGTACATTTTCTATTATCGATACTTGCTGTACCAAATTAAGGCAATGTCATACCATGTGTCTTCAAGCAAGATTTCCTGTTTTATCTCACCGTTGCGTACGACTAGACGGAACAATAAAATCTAATATTATCACATGAACTATTCTCACGCAGTATCCACCGTGGCCAAGTCATTCTAGGACGTACGTCTTATTGTTCCAAAAGGTCGTATCACATATTTTATGTTCACAAAAACAAAAATTTTGGTCTTTTTCCTATACGCTGTAAGAGTATCGTCGAGATCGCATGATTATCACGAAATTTATAACGAAAATACGTTTTGACTAGGTATGATAGCCTTAAGATCATTTCAGCATCTTATTTGCGGTCGATCTTGTGATCTTTGTGCAGTATGTAGTATTCAACGTCCAATCTCTTAGTTAAAGCCTCACCAAATCCAAACTATTCACGAAATATAGTGTATAATCACGAACTAAAAAAGTTCTAGGAAGGAGATAGGAACACCAGAAGTACCATTACCATAAAAACAATATAACTTTTATTATCAACAAACAAAACTAACTTAACATCACAATTTTCTTCTCTGAGTGTAACTGAGCGTTTGGAAACACGAAATTCTTCATACTCTCGTTCAACTGCTCCAAGGCCAGTTGCGCTTGCAATCTCATCACATCGTCTTTATCCGAACTATATATCTGCTTTAAAGTCCTGTAAACGGGTAAGATATCCTCTTTGAAAAACGAAATTATTTCTTGATCCAATCCTACAAAGAGTTGTCTGATGACTGTAACGGCTGCCCTTCGTGCCTGTGGAGATTTATCGGTCGATATAACGGCATGTACACATGACAGTACCTATTATAAAAAAAAAACATTATTACAACTATATGAGGAAGCCTACAATCTTGTGCTTCTATATATATATATATATATATATATATATATATATATATATATATATATATATATATATATATATAAAAATGAGTGTTTGTCTATGTTTCCTTTATTATAGAATTGTAAACTAAGATAATCTTCAGCAAAGTTGTTGTGCATGAGCCCACGAAGGTTTCTAAGTTGGTACGACCAATTTTCGACAGATGGCGCCACTGTCTTTCCAATGAATCTCATATATTGCCGTGACTGACAGTTCATGCCGATTCGAGTTGAATAGAAAAATTACTTCATAATTTTCAAATAAAAATATTCCGAAAACGGTACACAGTATCGAGTTTTACAAAGAGTACCTTTTTCGTGTAAAATTGAATGATGATTAAGTTTACTTGACAATTTTATTAATAATTATACTCTTAAAAAAGTTATATTGACTAATATTTAGTACGATCCTTGAAACTAGCGCCCTCTATGAAAATCAGATACAAAAACAAATTCATGGGATGTATCAGCTTCCAAAACATATTCGTATAAAATTTCATTACAATGTTGCCAGTAATTTCGGCAAAATCGTAAAAAATCCGTAAAATATTTTTTCTTTAACGCCCTTTTTCTTGAAAACGGATGGCGTTACAAAAATTTTTTACTAAGCAAATCCCAATTATTTTTCAGTTTTTAACCTACCCTAGAGACGGGGTTACCTTTTTTTGAAACATCCTGTATTACGGTACATCACATATTCAGTGCCTTATATCACACTAAAGCTATAAGTTTTAGGAAAATTCGCGATTGCATGTTCAACTGTGTATATACAAACATTACGCTTTCAGCAATTATACTGCCGGACTAAAAATGACGAAAACTAGAATTTGTAAACTGATTTTTGAAGAAATTTACTAAGAAGCGTAGATAAATATTTCCAAGAAATGTTTAATAGTACTCAGAAACTGAAAAATAGAATAAGAGATAAAGATGATTGACCCCATGAACAAGATTGATAATAGTCTCGTAAAACACAAAAAAATTCGATATAATTCAATATTAGCAACATAGCAGACGTCTTTTTCATATTATATAATTACAAAACCGTTTTATATTACAAAGAAAACAGTTTTATATAAAAAATTATATTTTTATGTACACATAACTGTGTAACAGTAAAATCACGACAGCCTTAGGGGAACCGTGATTATTAAGGCGTGAATACATACCGACTACGAAAAAACCATCGGAAATTTATAATTTTTGTTGGTATTACGTGATCTGCGGTCAGCGTAGAGAATCCTACCGATATTATTTGATCGTGATTAAAACAACTTTATTTGATTGTTGCGTTGTGGCAAAACGGTTTAGAATCGATCTCGTCTTCGGGTCAAACTAAACATATATTTGTTTTAGTTTTAGAACGGTTAGTTTATTCAGAAATAACAAAAAGAAGTTTTTAAGAGGTAAGAAGATCCTGGTTAAAAAAATTATAGTAAAGTAATAAGGACACTTACCTCAGAGAACATTGATCCCAGTTTGTAGCCCAGTATTTGGCAAATTTCGCCAAGATTCGATAAACTGGATGCTCGTATCAAATCGTCTTCGTCTCGCGTGCCCGTCAGGAATGTATTTAACAGGATTGGTTTGTATTTCGGAGCCATATCGCCTAAAATAAAGGCAAAATCAGATCACCTAATCAAAAGATAACCAAAATCAGCGATAAAAAATAAGGAATTTGCGTTAGGTATAGTTTATTTCACGAAAAATGGTTGAGTGCTTAATAATTGCAATAAAACCCGACCGCATTATAATTAGGTATATAAAAACGATTAAAAAATCGTATAAAATTATAAAAACGATTAGAATACATTTTATTTCATAAACATTTTAACAGTGAGTTTCACTATCAATGGTTGATCTTTTAATGACCACAATAAATTTCTTGATCGTTAAGTATTTCCTGGAATAATTATACAGGTTCCCTCTATTCTGTATAATTTGTAAAAGTATATAAAACCGATGAGAGCTTTTTAAATATACATTTTGTTTTATTTAGTTGAAAGTGTTACAAGTGTTACCAGTGTTATACCTATTTATACCCATAAAACAGCATTATGTGGCGTCCGTGGAAAAACATTGATGGTGCTTCTTCCAGTGTTCCAGCAAAGAAAAAGCATTTATCTGATGACGCTAGAGAAATCGTAAAAACAATATATAGTTCTTTACTTACAAGAGGACTTACGCTTCCTTCTTGACTTAATGGGATATGATGTAATTCTTTTCACTGTGATTAGAGGTATTTTCGTTAAATCAGATATTTCACCGGCAGCAGTATAAGCAGTAAGGATGCCGGTTCTACCAAATGCATTGACGAAAGTGATAAGGACTTAATAAGACGAAAAATTTACACAATGTACGAAGAGTAACGGATACCTACATTAGATTCTTTAAAACAATGGCTTACTAATGATGATACTCAAATAAACTGTAACCGCATTAGTCTTTGGAGGATTTTATCTAAAATAGGCTTCAGATATCGTACAATTGACAAAAGGCAAGCAAGAACAACCAGAAAATATCAATAAAACTGTTTAGATCATCGATAGACGCGATTTAATTGGCTAGTGTAGTCACTTGAAAGAATCCCTAAAACATACCAAAAAACGCCAAAAAAATATTTCAACGCCAAATAGGCAAAGGAGGTGTTGGCAATACTGTGGGACACTTTGGACCAGGTATGCGAAATGATAGAGGAGATCGCCCTGTTCAGTTATGCCAAGAAACGGATAGTGCAATAATGAACACCATTTTCCAATTACCACCTGTAAATCTCCAGCTGATTGTCCAAAAAAATGGTTAGAAACCAGATTGAATACATCATCATCAACAAACGATTTAAGAATTCCGTAAAATCCGCAAAAACATATCCGGGAGCAGATGTTCCATCAGGCCATAATCTTTTACTAGGACGTTTCAAACTCCGTGAAAAGGTCCATAAAAGAAAAGCACAAAAACATCCAGACATCCAGAAGTTGAAAGATAAAACCACAAGAGACGAAGTCAAAGAGGAGATCAGCAACAAAATAAACAACATGGTAATCTCAGATATCAATCAATAAAACATAAGTTGGATGATATGTGGAATAAAATCAAAAATATCTGTAATTCAGTGCTAGCTAGTAAACTTAAACCAGAAAACAATATAAAGAAACAGCCGTTGATGTGGATAATGGGAGGAAACAGATTACGAAGCCATAACTTAATACTAGACGAGCATAACAATCTGCTCTACGAAAATGAGAGAATACTTGAGAGACGAAGATACATGGAAGAATCATTCAAGGAAGAGCAAGAGACAGAAGTCAGTGTTTCTGGATGTTCAGGGCCAGAAATAACGCTCAGTGAAGTAACATATGCAATAAAAAGACTGAAAACCAACAAAGCACTTGGACCTGATAACACACAAGCTGAAATATTGAAACTATTTGAAAACAATCAACTCAATCTACTAACGAGTCTACTGAACAAAATCTATGAAACTGCAGAATTTCCTACAGATTGGCTAGTTTCCACCTTCATCCCTCTCTCCAAAAAGGCAAATGCCACCAGATGCTCTGATTACATAATTATAAGCTTAATGAGCCATGAACTCAAAATCCTTCTTTCTGTTATTCACTCTCGCATATATAGAAAAGTTTGGGTTTAGAAGCGGACTGGGAACGAGAGAGGCCCTATTTTCCATACAAGTATTGATACAAAGAGATCGAGACGTAAACTGCGAAGTCTACGCATGCTTTATAGACTTTGAAATAGCATATGACAAGGTGCAACATCAAAAATTATTTCAGATACTGAAAGAATCTAGTATTGATGACAAAGATTTACGCCTAATTAAAAATGTATACTTACGGCAAAGGGCAACTGTACGAGTAGACAACGAAACCTCCTAAGAATTCACGATACAACGGGGAGTACGTCAGGGCTGCATTTTGTCACCGACGTTGTTCAATACTTACTCGGAAATGCTGTTCAGGGAAGCTATTGATGGTTTGAACGAAGGTATAAAAATTAATGGTGAAATCCTAAACAATTTAAGATATGCGGACGATACGGTTTTGATTGCTGATAATGCGATGTAAGAAGTGGACAAAATTACATATTTTGTATGCAGCCTAAATAAGGAATGGGACCGTTCACAGGAAATAACATGTCGTATAGAAAAATCGAGAGCTCTCTTCAATCGCCTCAGCAAGATTTTATGTAATATGCACTGGAACATTGATATAAGAACATGAGTCTTGAGATGCTATGCATTTTCTACCATTTTATATGGAGTCGAAGCCTGGACCTTGACGGAGGCAGCATCCAAACAATTAGAAACCTTCGAAATGTGGTGCTACCGCCACATACTCAGAATTTCCTATATCCATCATGTTACAAACGTCACCGTCATCCAACGTATAAATAAAGATCTGGAAATTATGCGTATCGTGAAAATCAGAAAGATGACATACTTAGGGCATGTGATGCGCAATGAGAAGTATCAACTAATTCAACTAATTTTACAAGGCAAGATAGAAGGCAAAATATCTCAAGACTCAAGAATTAAAAGATCAAAAGACCTCTATTTAGAGCAGCTGGCAACAAAGCTGTATGGACCAATGTAATTGCCAACATCCACAAAGGGTAGGCACCAAAAGAAGAAGAAGAAGAAGAAGTGTGGTCACAAATACTCTAATGGATAACTAACTCTAACAAGAGTATATTGAGATATAAATATAGCAATATTTAAGAAAAATTGAAGTTGTAAATGTCTAGTAGAATTAAATTCTAAATTCTTATTTATCTACATACTTACAATTTCTAACGGAATAAAAATGTGCAGTTCTGTCTTCCAGTCATTAATTAACAGTGCAAAGCTAAAAAGGCGTGTAATCTACTGTGTGAACCGTATAATTTAGAACATTTCTTCTAATTAAATTGTTAATCTTGTTGGGAAAAATTACGTAAGAAAATCCGCTTAGAGTGACGACGAAAACAAATAAAAATACGCATTGTGTTCATTGTCTTTCCGTTAAATGTCATTTTCATTTTATTATTTCCCAGTTAGCCCGTGGGAAACGAGTTTAATGAATAATAAATGTATCCATTAAATGACTCCGCGTTTCGAAGTAATTAAAAATAAACATAGTTTATGGCGGCAGCCTACCATGGTCTAATACATAGATGTACTAGTCAAAGAGCTACCACATAAAACGATTAAATATTAAAAGCAAAATAGCGCAAACAAATGTCGTAGTTTCACGGCAAAAAATTGAAATGTCTGTTTTAATTGAATATACGGCTGCGATAACAACGCAACTTTTAAGGAAAAACTTAAGGGTTCACTTTTACGTAATTAAATTTTTCAGCGACCATTTAAGTGGCTCGGAGGCAAAGGTGCCTAACCCCAAAAATTTCTTTTACTGGATTTGGCTTATTAAGTGCTTATAATTTCTGTAAAAATCGTGTGCAGAATCAGCATAAACTTAATTTTTGTTGTTATCGTGTCCCTATCTATAAACTGGTTTTTGCATTAACAAAATGCCATAGGAAGCTTGCGGCAAAACTGCCTAACCAACAAAAACATGGCGGATTTAAACCTTAGCAGTGACGCATCGGAGCCTTTTGGATCCGATTTCAGCAATATAGATAGCGATTATAATCCCAGTTCTTTAAATATCGAGTCTTAGAGTAAGACACTAACAATACTATCAATATTTAGGTAAATATAAAACAAGCAAGATAATCCTTAAATACCCATTTATAAACAAATGTGCCTTAAAATACTTAGGCTGCTTTGCCGCAAACTTATTTGTAATTTATTTTTTATTGTTCTGGACGAGAATAATGATGATTGGAGTGAAAAAAAAACTTAATAAATAAGTTGTCGAACACTAAGAATCAAGGCAATGATAAACCAAAAGGCAAATCGCACCAACATTCCAGAAAGAGAATAATAAATCTTGAGAATCATGCAATGTATAAAAGGAAGATAGCCAAAGAGAAAGGAGAAAAATATGTCACGGAAGAAGGAAAACGTTAAAATGCTATAGTAGTTGGACTATGTTCGTGCAAAATAAACTGTCATATGATAAATTTCTAATAAACGAAAGCAAAGAATCTTTAAAAATTACTATTTGCTTAACTGGTCAATGAAAAATGCTTTATTCAAGGTCAAATAAAAGTAGAAGACAAAAAGAGAAATTATAGCCAAAATCAAAATTCACGTGCATATACTATATACCGAATGAAAATGGTTGTGACCAAGTGGTATGTAATAACTTTTTTAAACACACAATTTCCATTACAAACAGGACGACTAGCTGAAGAGAATCTGCTAGGTCGCTGGCCTATAAAAAACCACAACTCACCGAACCCATGAAGATAAAGAGACTCCAACGGACCAAACAACACCGAAGTAATATTGTTAAAGACCGTAGTCGAGTAAGTACAACTTTTTTTGACGAATGGAGTCCGTGAACAGCGAATACTATTATTTTTACAGTAGGTATTCTTCTCTGAAAAATAAACATTCCAGATTTTGATGGACAAAAGTGAGTTCATCCAATGACGTCTATTCGGGAATCCTTATTTCTTTATTTTATATTGAATATGTTTAGGATTAAACTTGAGGTCGCTGGTTAAATGATATTTAATAAGTAAATGTAATATATATGTGTATAATTATTGTATGTATTAATCTACATATATATAAAAGTATTTTACCTACTGAAATTATGAATTATAAAAATAGAAATAAATTTAAAAATTGCTATGTAAATATGATCCAATTTAATTATGTAAATAAAGTTTAAAAATTATGTTCGAAGGACCGAATTAGATTTAAATTGAAAACAAACAAAAAAAAAAACAATTAATTAAAATCCGGCTCGAAGGACCAAATGTTTAGGATTAAACTTGAGGTCGCTGGTTAAATGATATTGGATAAATAATTATAAGGAAAAATGCAATATTTGTTTGTACGTAAAAGTAGCGAAAATAGCAACTACCAATTGTAAATAAATTTTGAAATTAACTGGTTTACTCATTATCGTTGTTTGTACAAAGAACATAGACTTACCATTTGGTTCTATTGATGTATTCGTACCAGGCTGAAGAGTGGGTCGCGATACCGACGCTAGCCCGGTCAATGATGCCTTTCTTTCACGGTCTTACGAAGAAGTCAAAAATCTTGAAAGTCTTAAGAGCGTCACTAGGGCAAAAAACCCCCTCTGACCGTTGAGTGGTCAACATCTCGTAGGCCGGAGCCAGCCATAAATCAACCACTTGTTTCAATCTTTGTGACACTGAATACAAAGGAAAAAGCCAAATTCTGCGTACTTTAACATGATAAATGAGATAGCCAGTTTAAGTTTTTACGAAATAACAGGAAATAATATATTTTAGAAAGGTCTTTGAAATACAGCAATAAATTAGGTCACATACTTTCCCCAAACAGAATATTATTAAAATATTTAATTTATTTCGGGCAGAATAAGTTTTAGATGTTTAATAATTATATTTCCTTGAAATGATGCAGAATAACCTTATGTGCTTATTGGTCACATTTCATTCAAAAGCGCGATATAATATGATTTTACTTCCACGCCCACAATCGCTCATATTAAAGGGGCATGCTCCAATGAGTACATTTTAACCGACAAGGTACGACTTTGCTTCCAACTTTCAACGAAAAAGGTTAAGAATTCGGGACCTTACGTATCTGGCCGTACCGTCTCTCGTCTAACAGGAATTTCATGGAAGCAATCCATTGAAGTGATTGAGCAGTGATGAATTGAGTAATCACATTTGGATCTACATAGTTAACCAAATCATAAAGAACACCAATTTAAAGTAAGCAATTTTGTGCATAACTTGTAGAACCATATTATTTGAAATTCAATCTTAAATTTACAAATTGGTTTTTATATTTTCTACAATTACTATTCAGAACTTTGCTACAATTACTATTCAGGACTATTGGGAGCAGTTCCATTCAGATAGCATTGTGGAGAGGATTAAACATCCGGTTAGTGTCATGGTATGGTTTGTAATCTAGGTTAAGGATGTGGGACGCTTATACATCGTGGAAGGAACAAGGAGACAAGGTCAGTATAAGCGAATACTTGAAACTCCACTCCTGTTCCATTCTGCACTGTGTCACAACGTTGTGTAACTGCATTTCTGACCAAAAAAAATATTGGAGATCTGCCCTGTCCGGAAAACTCACCTGACATAAACCCCATAGGGAGCATGTGGGAGTTAATCTAACGGGGGATCGCAAAAGATTTTATCACCAAGACGCAGCAGTTGCTCAGGCTCCTTCAGATTCACCTTCACTCTGAGAACCCTCTGCCAGAGACTCTGCTCCCCTACTACACATTCTATATTCTTAGCTGAGACTTTTTCTACTGCTCCATTTTTATTTCATTCTGCTTCAATTCAAATGTAAGGAGGAAAAAGATCTCTTTCCGGGAAAAGATCGATAGTTTCCAAGGAGGTCGATAGTTTCCAAGATCTTTTTTTCACTGCGATGACAACACGATGAAAATTCAAGATTGAGATAGGCAGCATAACTGATTTGGGAAAACCAAAGATTATATTTATTATAAATCAGATATCGTTCCATATCGTCCGATAAATTAGTTGTACACCGAGAAAACTGATATAATTTAACTAAATAAATAAAAATAATTTACCTAATATCTTGCTGACTTTAACAAGAACTTCTCCCAGCTTCATCCTAGATTCGGAACTATCCTCCACGTCTTTTCTGTTAGAGTCTGAATATTCATCGCACAATATTTTTAATATGGTATCCGGAAATACATCGGTCATCGCTGCAAGTCCGTTTATGGCGGATAAATATATAAATGAATCTTTGTTGGTTAAGTTTTGCTGAAAGAAATAAATATTGAAAGAAAAACTTTTCTTATATACATAACTAATTGTTGGTAACTGTCTGATGAGTCACACACTGAAGATACTCTTACGAATTATACAAAACCGAGTATTCCTTCTATGCGAAAGTAAGATTCCTTCGAGAAGGCGTTCGACAGAGTCCAACACAATACACTTTTCGACTGCCTACGGGCAGCAGGACTTGACCACTATGATATAAGACTGCTGAAATACTTATATTACAATCAAGTAGCCTCTATCCAAATTGGAGACAGTCCCACTGAAAAAATACCCATCAAACGTGGAGTACGGCAGGGTTGGGTTTTGTCACCCACTCTTTTTAATCTGTACTCTGAAGAAATCTTTAGGGAGGCTTTGGATGACAGACAAGAGGGAGTAAGACTAGGTGGAGAAGTAATCAACAATATTAGATACGCTGACGATACAGCCATTCTTGCAGAAAGTTTACAAGATCTCCAAACATTACTAAATCTAGTCAGTGAAGCAAGTTATCGGAGAGGCCTAAAAATCAACATTTCAAAGACAAAGTGGATGGCAGTTGGAAAGATCCATATAGATCAAGGTCTGCTTTCTCTTAATGGAGAAGAGATAGAAAGGGTAAATCATTTCAAATACCTTGGCAGCTGGTTAAATGTAAATTGTGACTCTGATGAAGAGATAATATCCAGGATCGAAATATCACGTAAGGCTTTTATGACCTGGAAACCAGTTTTATGCAACAGAAACCTGTCAATGAACATTCGTAAGAAGGTCCTGAAATGTTATGTGTGGTCGATCCTATTGTATGGTTGTGAGACATGGACGTTAAAAACCACAATGCTAAACAAGTTAGAAGCATTCGAATTGTGGTGTTATAGACGAATCCTAAAGATATCGTGGGTTTCGCACACTTCCAATGAAGATGTTCTTCAAATGATCAATTCAGAACGTCTGCTCATAAATACCATAAAGAGGAGAAAAACGGAATACTTCGGCCATATAATTAGAGGACCTAAATACCATTTACTTCGCCTTATAATACAAGGAAAAGTGGAAGGAAAGAGATGGATTGGTCGAAAGAAACTTTCATGGCTGCGTAATATTAGACAATGGTGTGGTTCCACAGTAGAAGAATTATTTCGCGCAGCAGCCGACAGAGAAAGGTTTCAGGAAATTGTAAACATGATGACGGCCAACGTCTAAATACGGACACGGCACCCAAAGAAGAAGAAGAAGGTAACTGTTCAGTGGAAAACGGGAATCATGAGTTCTTCCAGTTACTTGTTGTTAAATGTTATTTGGACTTCCCGTGGTTTTAGTAAAGAACACAAGACCGTACATGAAACTACATATTTAATACTTCTATCTGACTGTCATAATATAGAAAAAAGAAAACTTAATTGTTTGTAATAATACAACTAAAAAATATTACAAATATAAATTAATACTACATGTTGTTACATCGATGACTGGAAACGGAATGAATGCTGAATGAGGGTTGCTAGGTAGCCTCCCAAAGGTGGGTACTTTCCAAAAATATATCGTAACGGGAATTTCTAATCTCCCTTAGCGACAAGTCGTCGCCAAACTAAGCTATGCGCCGTTTCAAAGACGATAGGACCGTTGTCAGATCTTTTAAAGTTTTAACACTAATATTGCTTCAAATAGAAACGATATTGCCTGAAGTAAACGCAATGAATGACCTTAAACCGTGTTAGAACTGGTGTAACCGCAGTAAAGAAAAACAAAATAAAATTTATATGAAAATGAACAAAATATGCAACATTTTCTGTTATCTGGTTTCATAAAAAGATCCTCTTCTTGAACAAAACTATCAGCAATCCCGTTAGCACCTGTTCCTTTATGCTCTGGCACGCTTCGCAAGTTGCTTAAAGGAATCTTCGCAACTCTCAAGTTTTTAAGGACTCACAGTACAGCAACACTAATCAGAATAAAAAACGAGGTAGTTTGTTGAGGAATCAAAGTAAACAGCAGAAACGCTTGCAAAAGATGTCAGCAACATCTTTAAAACAAATAATACTCCAGGAAAGTAAGTTTCTCTCAGAAATATGAAATAATCCAGGCGGCTAGCAAATTGTTTAGTTAATATAATATATCTTTAGGAAAGATTTAAAGTTTTCTTAAACAAATTGAAAAAAATCTTGCAATTTGAACAAGATCGTCTGTGGATTTTCGAAAACAAGTCAAAAATCAAATGAATACTGATTAGAAAGAATGGAGGAAAAATCTATAAATCTATGCGTTCAAAAAAATGTTCCAACGCCCCAAGCATGGTCTTTTTTACTTATTTCTGTGAACTGAAAAGCAACAGTAACCAAAATAAAAAAAAGTTGCTCAATCAAAGCAAATAGCACAAACACTTGCAGAAGATATGAGCAACACTTTAAAGAAAAATAATATTACAAACTAATCATTATGGTCAAAATATTGATAATCTATAAACTAAAATAACTTACCAGCAAAAGATTAAGGATGTATTGCTTTCTTTCCATAACATCTGGATCTTTCTTCTCTATCAATTTACTTAAGCAAATCAATCCGTGCCCCCTAGTGGGAAGTAATGGATCACACACATCTTCCAAAATCTGATCTAATTCTGCTTTATCTTTTTCTTCTACGTTCTTTCGTTTACTTACATCATATCCTTGTAAAATTTTTAATATTTTGTGAATTATATCTTTAGTTTCTTTGTTTTCAGATTCTTCTTTAATTTTCTTTAAAGGGTCTAATAAAATATCATAATGAATAAGACTATCTCTATCAGAAGTCTCTAAAAGGTTCTGGAGAATCATAAGAATGGTAAATACTGATTGGAAACCTTCAGAATCACAGTCTTCCTTTGTATGTGTAGACAATTCCAATGTTCTATTCAAAACATTGTATATGTAGTCCACAATAACACCAGGTTTCTCGTTGAGCTGCTTTTGGATGTCTCTTTCATCAGCTAGTTCAGAAACCAGCTTATATACAACAATTTTCCTTTCAATATAAGATGTTGTGAAATCTTCTTCTACTTGTATAAGCCCTTCATTGTTTTTTGGAAAATATTTGCTCTCGTTGGAAATACAATTAAGAAGATACCCAAAAAATGACACCAGTAGTTTTGGTTTGCGTTTATACAATTTTAACACTGCTTCACAGTTTTCGGAAGGTGAATACTGTACTGAATGTTGCATCTGCCTTAAGGTAATTCTATTAGCTTGTACATCAAATTCGACATCATCTCTAAATTCCAAAATTTCTGAGGACTTCAAGTTAAATAAAATTGTGTCTAAAACATCCAAACTCTTTTCTTGATTGCTTTCAAAAAAAACTAATAAAATATCAGCCAAATCATTATTTACAGTTTTAAAAGAAGAATCTATAGTTGTTACAAAGAATCGAAATATTACTGATACAATTTTTGTAAGAAGACTTGAAGGCAGAACATTTTCTTGTGCGTTACTTTCAACAAAAACAGCATTTAACAACCTTGAAGTCAATTTGATGGTTTCTGTTATATCTCCTTTACAACATTGTTCAGCTTTTTGGGTAAAACATATTAAATGCGTCATAATATTCTTCACAAATACATCATTACATAACTCAGTATCCTTTGTGTAGATAATTTTGGTACAGTGAGTGAAGATATTCTCTGCGATAGTTTGTTCGGAGCTTTGATTGTGAAGTAGATCGATAAGTTGTTTACAAATATTTTCCTTAAAGTCAGGAAACTTCATACAATACAAAATTAGCTTAGAAAACACATCTAATATTTTCCAATTTTGTGTATTGCTTTCACAATTTCCAAACAGAGCTGATGCTACTGTCTGGACACCCTTTTGGGAGCGAAGAATACTGGTAAGATTTTGGAAAAGGTGTTTTTTAAACCAACTAGGAATTTTAGCGTTAAACATCACCATAGTCTCTCTGATAAAAATAGAAGGATGTACAGATTGTTCTAAGTGATTCAATATCTGCAAGAAAAATCTTTGTTCGTGTATAAGCTTCTCATAAATTTCTTTGGTCATTGAAGCTGTGGACTCATCTGAAGGCTTTTTTACAGGACCATAAGAGATCTGATATAAGGCAGCTAATATAACTTTCAAATTCTCGGGTAAAATGCATAATCTTAACACTGGCAATTTCATAAATTCTGTCAAGCCAAAAGTTGTACATTTTAGTATGTTGTAACTCCAAAAAATATCTTCTGACACGAAATACTTTGACTGCATATGGAAAGGAAGTGTAGGTTGCAGTTTTGTTTGTATTCCTATAATAACCACATCATTTATAAAACCCCTCAGATCTCTTGTTTCTTGTACGCTTAAAAACACATCATCTGCATTTTCTGATTCTTTTCCCAATGCTTTTATTATGAAGAATGCTAAACATATGTACTTCCATTCTAAATCTATGTTATTCGAGAAATTTAGACTTGCTATATCAGATATTTCAGATAAGACATCATCATGTTTGATTCCTAATTTATTGTAAACTTCACTCAAACCAGACTCAAGAAAAGATGTGTAACTGCCATCTACAACAAACAAGATAAGGAAAGATCTGCATCAAATTATTAAATCAGGTAAATATTATAGGTAATGTTAAACTATTTTCTAAAAAAAAAGTGATAAAAACAAAGTGCTGGAGTATTACAATTAATTTTTAAATAGATATATTGACAGTATCACAACATTGAGCTAAAACAATATATTGCTGATCAATTGACAATTCAAAATTTACTCTCTTACATGGATGTGACATAGGTTTCTCAGAATGGTGAATGGCATTAAAGACATAAGAAAAGAACGAAATAAATAACTCAGTTATGTTCTTGGAAGACTCAATCAATGAGAAAATAAAAGAATACAGGAGAAAATCGAATTGGAAAATTAGGCAATACGAAATGTAAGTTGCCTATATTTGGCGAAAATTTAGTATATTGCTTATTTACTTTTATATTATTACTTTGTTATTATTGTGCCAACAGAACTTAGTTTTATCATTATAAAAAAATTGTTTATGCTCAAAAATTTGTCTTTATTATTCTATTATGAGTGTTCACAGGGCAATTAAACTTTTAATTATATAGTTCATGAAAATGCAAAATGAGGTTATGTTTTAGATTTATTCACATCAAAAGAATTTATAAAAGAGGAGCATTTACCTTTTATTTCCGCTAATTTCAGAAGTTTTACACACTCTAGTAACTGATTTTTGTTCATTTTACACATATAATATTCACAAAACGTTTAAAAATAAGGATCATTTTAAATTATGTGCACCTCAGACAACTAGTCACCACAAAATGGCGGTGGAAACTGGGAACGTGCGGTACCCCCTTCCAAAAGGGGTTAATTTAAAAAGATCTCATGAATTTAATTTTTGTTTATTTGATTTATGATAATGATAAACATAGTTTAGCTTTAAGAATTTTTTTAATTTGAATTTTTATTTATTAAAATAAAACCCAAATAAAAATAAAAAAATTTATTATTCAGATTGCAATATTTTGACTTAAAGAATACACAGTAAAGTATGATTTAAAGTATCCTAGTTTTTATGGAGCTACATTACAATTATACAGGTTTGCCACCACGAAGTGCCAGGACTAAATGCAGAACTGATCCACCTTGTACTTTGTAATCTTGTGCTGTCTTTTCATCATTCCTAAAACAATACAAACCATCATCTATATCATATTTTATTTGGAATATAAGTTCTATTAAGTGGGGTTCAATAACCAGGGTATAATACATAATGAATATTAGTTAATTAAAATGAAGTGGAATTAAGGTATCTCAAGCGAGCATTCTATCAATTATTATCTACACTTGTGTCAGTAATATTGTTACAGCCAGCTTGGAAAATGCACAACTCTTCTTATAATAAATATACAATCAAAATTCATAGCAGTACACAATTAATAAAATATAAAATTACTCTTGATTTTTTATTCAGTTTAAAATATACTATTTTACCTTTCTATGGTACTTTTCAGCAATTCTATTTTGTATTACCATTTCTGTATTCTCCAATAATTGTCTGTTTTAAAATACTGATGTTCTCTGTTATTGATTTGTATATTTAATATAAAAGTTCCCTGTATAGGATTGGCTAAAAATTTTTATTGTATTTTTTAAACTCTTTTTTTTTTGCCTGTGACATTATTGTTTGAATATAGTTCCTTAAACAGAAACAAGACTGTAATGCTTATTGCTTGCTGTCAACATGATTATTAGAATTAGTTTCTCCATAGCTTTAATTACATTAGGGATTCTACATTGTTGAGAATAATAAGATAAGCATTTAATTTAGAAAGTGGAAATTATGCATTTGGGTGTATAAACTGGGTAGTTTATGCAATAAAGGATCACAACTAAAAATATGATGACACTATACTAAAAAAGGTTAAAAAGGATATTCATACATTTGCTTTCCTGAGAATATAAGCCTCTGTTGTTGTGGAGGAATGCCTTCTTTTTCTTCAACTCTTTCTTTTATTCGTTCAACTTTATCTGTAGGTTCTATATCTATTTCGATTTCTTTTCCAGTGAGGGTCTAAAAAGTCTTTCAGTTAAAAACCAATTACCACATATAATTTGAATTACCTTGACTTTGATAAGCATTGTGATATATTATTAATTTACTTAAAATTACTAAAAGTATACTGGACTCTGAGCTTCGATTTCGGATTTTTTCCCAAAATCTAAATTTGCAAAGAACACTCTCGGCCGGGAATTTGACGCAGACATGTTTGACAGTTGACATTTTAATCAGAAAATAAATGAAAACAAAACAATTATCAAATTAAATCATACTCACCAAATTATACGTTCTGATAGTACGAATATTAAATAATTGTGAAAATTTAATATATCCAGAACATTTATAACTGAACATCAAAAATCATGTAGATGTACACTTTTAATAGTCGAGGCGGAATTAATTTGTAGCCAGTAGAAATAATGGGGTTAAGTTTCTTCTCTTTCGAATTTTGCAAGCGGTGTTTGTAAACTAATGGAGATATAAATGAGATAACTTTTGCTTATACTGTTTTATTCGGATATTAGGAGGTTTCTTTTAAATATTAAGTATGGCTGCAGCCACAGTAGTTATTGAAGAAAAAAGTGACGCTGTTGATAGACAAAAAGTAAAAATTGACCATTCACTGAGAATGTAATACAGTAAGGTCTAACTTTCCTTAATTTTAGGTTTGTCCGTTTTTACTAAGAGTTTTCGTTTCCTCAAATGGTTCCCACCACAAACCGGCTGATTACATTAAAGGAAACACTCCTCAAAATGAACTACAAATTTACACTTGGAAGGATGCTACTCTACATGAGCTAACTCAATTAGTGAAAGAAGTCAATCCAGAAGCTAGACGAAAGGGAACAAAATTTAGTTTTGCTTTTGTGTACCCAGATATGAGACAGTCTGTGTATAGAATAAGAGAAATTGGAAATACAGTAACTGGTGTGAAAGGACCAGACGATTTTAAGACATTGGGTCTCTTAAGGCTTAATATTGGTGATTATCTTGATATTGCTATCACCTCTCCAGACACTTGGAATTCTGCAAGGAAAGGGTATTCAAACAATTATAATTCTAGGTCTAGACAATATTAATATGTATATTATAGAAATACTATTTTCTACATATTTATTTATATTCTTTCCTGAATTTTGTAAGTAATACGCTGAATGGCTTGTTTCTTAATGCATGTTTTAAGTAATTTGTTTAAAAATTAGTAATATGTATACTATAATATACTGTATCTAAACGAAAATTTGTACCCCCACCCTTGTTGGGATTTTTTTTAATTGATTAATTAGTTACTGACATCCATTCTATTGCACTTCTTGGAACAATCCACCTTATGGGAAAAAACACTTCAGGATCATCAGGATGAAGTTAATTTTTATAATTCTATGAACATTAGTGCATGAAACACCAATAGTTTCAGATATTTTTTTGTTAGACGAAATGGGATCAATTTGCACAAGAACGTAACTGCAACTTCAATATGTTCATTTTAAATTAGATAACTTACTTCATGTCTGATGCTGTTACCTGAACCAGTAGTAGTAGCTTAAACTTTTGTCTGGATGATTTTGATTAAAAACTCATGCTATGGCTTTGGACAATCATTATTATAAAAGTATGTGACAACTATTTTCAGTGATTCTTCTTTGGTATTTTACCAGAAGGTGAGCAATCTTTTAACTGTGGCAAATAAGTTTATTTTAACAATAAAATGTGATTTGTTGGTAACTAGAATTGTTGTAAGAATTATTTTTGCATTCAAATTGCTACCCATCGATATAAAAATTTACCAGCTTTTTTATTTTGGTTAAGACATTTACTTTGTAGAATTTTAGGGGTACACATTTTTGTTCGGATACCATGTGTATCTATTACTTGTAAAAATTTGTCAAGACCTGAGTTTTGTAACTGTCTAAAATAAAAGTAACTATTTTTAATTGTATATTATTGATAGACTCTAAAATTTCATTGCACATGTCTCAGCAATATCCCTAAATTGAAAAAAGTATTCTTCTTCTTTTTCTTAGCCTTCTATAGTTCATGTTTGGGTATAGGCCTCTCCCAACTCCTTCTATCGGTCTCTATCCTGAGCAACATATTTCCAATTTGTTCTGGCTATTCTTTTAATGTCATCAACCCATTTCATCTGTGGTCTTCCTCTTGGTTGTTTACTTTCGTAAGGTCTACAATGTTGTGTTGTAGTATACCAATGTTGCTCTTTTTGTCTAGCAGTGTGGCCTGCGAAGCTCCATTTAAGTTTGGCAATTTTTGTTTGTTATGTCCTCGACTTTTGTTTTTGATTTTACCCAGTCGTTCCTCTTTTTATCTGACAGTTGTATACCTAACATTGCTCTTTCTGTTGTGGCTAGTTTATTCATGTTTGCCTTGGTTAGGGTCCAGGTTTGACATCCATATGTCATGATAGGAAGGATTCATTGGTTGAACACTTTTCTTCTCAAGTATTGAGGTATTTTGAGGTTCTTAAGTATCCAACTAAGTTTTCCAAATCCTGCCCATACTAGTCTTGCTCTTCTAATAATTTCTGCACTTTGGTTCTCTTTGTCAAGTTTCAGGATTTGGTCTAGGTAGATATATTCCTGGACTTGTTCTATCTCACTGCCATTTATAGGTATATGAAAAAAGTATGAACAGTAAATATTCCATCTAAAAAATAGTTCCTATCTCCTCATTGCATGTAAAAACAGCTGAGGTAACCTCCTATCTCAATAGTTATGTGTTGAGTGTTCATATGAAGGGAGTTCCTGTGATTCCACCTAGTGAATCTTTAAAACTAAACCATCTGAATAATTTTATTGTGTTTTAGCTAATAAAAATGCTACTAAAAAACATCTAAGTACAACTTGTTCAATCAATATATCAATGTAATTATCAGAAACCTCAATCTAAAACTGATATCAACGGAATTCATTCATCTGTGGCAGATTGTATTACTACACATTTCTGAATGCATTTTATTTTTAAATCATGTGTCCATAGAAAATCTAAGTGACAGCGTTTTTGATAAAACTTCAATTAAACAAATCCCTGTGGTTATTTATGAAGAGCCAAGTACAAGTTTCTGTTTCCAAACAAAAGATTCAGATAATGATGAAATGCAAATTGAAAATGCAGAAGAAAACATTGCCGAAACTATAGACATGCGACATTATACAAAGTACATGTATGAGACAAGTCAAAGTTACAGACATACATCTTAAAAGTATATAAATTAATAAACACGATAAAACATACTTAAAAGTTATTTTTAGAATTTGGCTCTAGCTCACAAATGTATTGATGTACACACCTCCAAAAGTTTGGCTGATGTAAATTCATTTGTATATCTATTGGTAATTTGTTAAAGAAACTTATGGCTGCATAATATGTGCTACCTTCCAACAAAACAGAACGATGTTGTGGAAGTATAAAGTGATTGTCTCTGAATCTTGTTGAATAAATATGGTTAAATTGAAATTTATTAAATTCATAAATTTTGCTATGTAAATATATACGAAAATATATACAGACCAGGAATTGTAAGAATACTGTTTTGTCTAAAGATGCCTCTACAAGAATCTCTAAGTTTCATTTTCAATTCAATGCTAAAGAAATGATAGAAAAGTGGAACCTATGTGTGTCTCTAAACTATATGAAAATCCTCTAAGAGAAACTGCAGACAATTCACAAAAGAAATGAGGATGAAAATTTTCAATTTCTTTTGAGATAAGCTAAACTGGGACCAACAGATCCTCAAGTAACTGATATAAAAGTCATGAATTATAGTCCTGAGGGAATCATTCGAGTGAAGCTTGATATCGATAATTTTTGCTCAATCTACTTTGTAGATTGAAGACAATGACTCCCATAGAACATTATCCAGCCATGTATAATGAAAAGTTGAAATTAACAAAGAAGAAATGGAGGCCCTTACAAGAACTAAGTATTATTCCACTTTCCTATGATGACAATAATTATTTGACTAATATTCTTTATAATTTCATTTTAAAAAGTTCTTTCAGCCAATGTTTTATTCATCAGCCTTAAATCAAAATATCTGTGCAATATCTCATATCTGTAGAAAATGTGCTGACAATAGCTCCTAGCTACAATAAATTAATTCCAAAACTTTCAGTTGAGTTTTGTGGACTTACATAAATTTACTACAAAACAAATCAAAAAAATATCATATGAAAACAGGAGGTGACCTTAAAAAAGGTTTTTCGTCTCATACAAAACTCTTGTTACAGCAGATGGAGGTATTGTCACATCACTGACGATATCTAAAATATATATATAGGAAGAAAAATGGAACCAAAGACATCAGATAAACACAATGAATATGAAGACAAGATCCACATATTGGGAAGTAAGATTCTTAGTGAGATAATAACACAAAGATAGGGTGTAGACTAAAAATTTGGGAGAATTAGGTAAAGGAAGAATTAAGATAGTAACAAATATGGAAAATGAAGTTAAAATATACAATCAATAGAAAAGAATATACATAAATTTTGCAAATCACATTAACAATTTTAAAGGGAAACTGCAAATAAGATTTTCATGTAAAAGCAGATGTAGGGTATATAGAAGTTGATCTACCACTTAAAGTGCTGTCTTATACAAACAGGTATCATCACTTAGAAGAAGGTGCTTACATGTTGTGAGAAGCTAAATGTTTTTTGCAAGATCTTAGTAATCCTGGACTATTGTCTCTGGTAAGTACATAGAGCTTTACATAGTCATCAACCAAACCATCACATAACTCATTTTCATTAACGTTGCAGGAGAGCAATAACAAAACTACTAACTTTTGGTGATGATGAACTCAGAAAACCAGCTCTCAATGGTTTTGGTATGTGAACTGAATGAAATATGTGGTGTTGTGGTTAGAAATGTTATATGTGGTGTTGCTTTATTGTGATTACAGCAATATTTGTTATGATTTTTTCAAATCTAAAGTCATTTAGATATCCCCAAAAGTCATCAAATGAAATAAAAACTCAAATCAAATTAAGTTAAACAGTATTGCTTGGTTGACAACCATATCAAGGTTGATTTTAAGTCCCACTATGCCCACTTTTGTTAAGATTGCTCTATGAACTTATGGTATGATGTTAATAATCTTCTTACAGTGCCTTATCCTTAAGGACGTTGGCCATTACATTTGCCCATTTAATCTTATTTGTAGCAGCCCTGAATAGTTCTATGGAGGTCATGTTCGTCCATTGCCATAGGTTTTTAAGCCAAGAGTTGCATCTTCTTCCTGGTCCTCTTTTGCTATTGACTTTGCCTTCGATTATAAGTTGGAGCAGTTCATACTTTTGATTTCTTATGATGTGACTAAAATATTGTTTTCCGTTCTTTTATTATAAGCATAAGCTCTCTTTCCTTATTCATCCTCTGCAAGACTTCTGCATTTGTCTTATGACTCATGTAGGATATTCTGAGCATTTTACGGTAACACCAGAGTTCGAATGCTTGGATTCTTTTTGTGTTGCTTCTGTCATTGTCCAGGCTTCAACACTTCAACAAGTTAATAATAAAACACATTAAATTGTTGCCTATTTTTCGTTTATTGGCAAAAAATGTAAAAATGACAGTTATTGCTTAACGAAAACTAATAAAATGATACTTATCTAAAAAGCAATAAATATACTCCAATAATACAAAACTAAAGTTCTAAAGACATACATAGATATCTAAATTAATTCTCAGTACGATATTACTGTTTTTCCAAGATTTCCTGAATATGTCCAATTCCAATATTCCATTAATGGGAAACTATGTGGAATATTTTAATACATATGATACAAGAACTGGCTAATTTTGAGATATATGTACAGCTTAATCTCTTCCTGATCAACTACTTGTAATTTAATATGATTCTTGTTTTTCATAATATACAATAGGGGGTTTAAGATACAATGTAGATTTATAATTAAGAAAATCCTGGATTTTATATGCCACTTAATTAAATTAATATAAAAGAAATAATGATTCTAACATACCATTTCATAGTCACAAAAATAATTGACAGTTCCTTGGAAACAAGTATACAAATTAATACAGGAACAAATAAAACTTTTAAGTCTTTTTCACTGCAGGATAAAAGTAATGCAGAAATACAAAACAAAATATCAACTACAATTGCCTCTTTATTTTGAAAACATTTCTCTATGATCATTTTGCTTTGTACCTCTCAAAATATTAAAAATTAAAATCAATTTATATTCTTCTAGTGTCTGATAATACTCTTACAATACAACCTACTCCAACAAGGTTATAAATCTTCTCATGCCACAACAGTAAATGACCACTGCTTCCTTCTGATGGGTATTCAAATCCTTTATACACATATTTCATCAAAGTATCTAGTGATTCTATATCTAGGGAGTTCACTGTCTCTTCTATTTGGGATGGTTTTATTGCCAATAAAACTTTAAATGTTATATTGAATGCATTTTCCTAAAATATCCTCAATCAATTAAACCAGTCTGTGTTTATACATACCACAAAATCTTCATTTAACAAGAAATTTAAGAATTTATTTAGGCTGAAGCTAAAGGAACATATATTGAAGAAGTATTGATTCAGATTGAGAATTTGCTTACTCACTTTGATTTGCTGATTTTTTATTCCTAGTGGTGCATTGTTCAACACAACTTTTAAGGCATCAAAATGTTTACCTGTAAACTAATTGTCAAGGAATATAAATATTACACAAGTTCTACATTCAATACATATCACAAACAGGTGAATTTTATGACTCATTCATTCAGTCTACTCAATCATTTATCAAGCCTTAAAAATTTATAATTTTTTACAATTACTGTTATATTTTATATAAAAAGGATATTTTTGAAGTAAATTATTCACTTCATTTTCGTCTGGACCAACTGAGCCCCCTGAATCAGTTTCGTCTTCTTTAAAGTTGT